CGGTTCCTTTCTTGCTCGAGATTCTGCAGAGTCCACGCAGCTGCTGCTCTTTTGTTTGACCTAAACCCTAAACCCTAAACCCTAGTTCAGGTTTTTCATTTTTGCCTCTGCTGCGCACACGACACCAGACCCCAAACCCTAAACCCCAAACCGTAAACCCCAAGCCCCAGACCGTAAACCCTAAACCCTAAACCCTAAACCCTCGGTGTTTGTGTGCGTCTCAGGGACAAAGTGTACGTGGGTTGGCTGCAGTTTTTGCCGCAAGCTTTTGTTGTTTCTTCCTTTAAGTTTTTGACTCTCTTGCTGCCAAACCCTCGCGTTGACTTCGCCGAATTTTATAATGCCACTATGGCTGAAGACGGCACTGTTACTGAGGGTTTCAACGGAGAGCTGGTCCGCAAGGGTTTAGGGTTTAGGGTTTAGGGTTTGCGGTTTGGGGTTTAGGGTTTGGGGTTTAGGGTTAGGGTTTGGGGTTTGGGGTTTGGGGTTTGAGGTTTAGGAGGGACGGAGGCGTAGGGTTTAGGGCCTAGGGTCTAGAGTTTGTGCTGGGGACGAGGGTTTAGGGGTTAGGGTTTATTCAATGGTGTGTCTAATGTTGTTTTTACTAGGGTTTGGTGGGGACGAGGGTTTAGGGTTTAGGGTTTGTGGAGTGCTGCTTTTCGCAGCCGGTAAACCACCGACTGTTGGTGGAGAGGTTTTCTGAAGTGGTTGATGAGGCTTACAAAGAAGTTTGGAAAAAGTATTTTGCTGTTGCAGACGAAATGACAGAAGTGAAGCAGCAGCAGCAGCCGCAGCAGCTGCAGCAGCAGCAGTTCTCGCAGCAGCAAGCGACGCCCGTTAGCGCGGTTGAAGTGGTACGGCAGAGACTCAAGGGGATCGGGGCCGAGCCATTAGGGTTTAGGGTCTAGGGTTTAGGGTTCATGGTCTAGGGTTCAGGGTTTAGGGTTTAGGGTTTAGGGTTTGGGATGCGTTCGCTGAGAGGTGGCTCTTTCTGGGCCAGAAGCAAAGGCCTGGGACTTCGGCTGAGAGCTCAGGGTCTAGGGCTTAGGGTTTAGGGTTTAGGGATTAGGGTTTAGGGTTTGTTGTTGCGCGCAGGCGTCGGGAGTGGAGTCTCTGGATTTGGAGGAGGGCGAGAAGGTGGAAGTGGCAATTGTGTCTTCTTCTGATGGCCTTAATTTGGAGAGTTTGGAGAAATACATTAAAGTCGAAGAAGTCAACAAAATGAGCGTCGAGGCCCTGGTGAGGAGCTAGCTAGCTAGCTAGCTAGCTGGCTAGCTAGCTGGCTAGCTGGCTAGCTAGCTGGCAAGCTAGGTGGCTAATTAGATGGCTAGCTAGGTGGCTAGCTAGGTGGCTAGCTAGGTGGCTTGCTAGGTGGCTAGTTAGGTGGCTAGCTAGCTCGCTAGCTAGCCAAGTGTGTTGCTAGCTAGCTGGCTACATAGCTAGCTAGCTAGATAACTAGATAGATGGCTAGCTAGATGGCTAGCTACGTTGCTAAATAACTACACAGCTAGCTAGATGGCTAGGCAGCTAGCTAGAGAGCTAGCTAGCTGTTGAGCCGGCCAGCTAGCTGGCAGCCAGCTGTGGCGTTAGCTAGCTAGTAACTTGGTGATCAGCCAGCTAGCCATTGGTCTACGTAGCTCGCCTGATGACTAGCTAGCTGGCTAGAAAGCTACAGAGCTAGCCACCACGCTAGCTAGCTAGCTAGCTAGCTAGCTAGCTGTCAGACTAGCTAGCTAGCTTTTTGGCTAGCCAGCTCGCTAGATGCGAGCAGGCCATAATAGGCAGCTCATAACAGGCACTGGAAACCTCGCTAGCTAGCTGGCTAGCTAGCTAGCTGACAGATGATGAGCTCATTAGGGTGGCTAGCCAGCGCTCACACAGAAGTAAAGAAGCACTTTAGCTATGTAGGGAGAAAGCAGCAGCAGCAGCAGCAGCAGGAGCACTAGCGGTAGCAGTAGCAGCAGCAGGAGCACTAGCGGTAGCAGTAGCAGCAGCAGCAGCAGCACTAGCAGCAGCAGTAGCTGTGGCAGCGGCAGCAGCGGCAATATTCCCTCTGCTTATAGTGGGGCCTCTTTAATTAGAAATAGATTATTAATCGTTATCTACTTATTCATTTTTAAATTATTTATTTATTTTTTTTTATTTATTTGTCTTCTGCAGGCCTCTGGCGCGTTCGCAGCGGCTCCCCAGGCGCTTGCCTTGTTTGCAGCATCAGCGCTGTGTGTGTTGCTGCTGAGGTGAAAGGAAAGAGCGGAGAAAATCCCGGAAAAAGGGTTTAATAGCGGAGAAATGATGGGAAGACGGATAAATAAATACAAATAAATGCAAATAAATGCAAAGAATCGTCAAAACGAGCAGAAATAAAGGGGTATTCCTTCAACCGGTCAAGGAACCACGGACCCGACCCGCCGAGGACCGGCGACTGCAGCGCCGAAAGAAGTATGCGTTGTTTGTTTCTTTTGTGCATGTTATATACGCCATTGGGAAGGAAATATAAATAATAATAATGTTTTTGCGCTTTTATTTCCGTTATTTGTATATAATATGCTCAATCCGTGCTGGAACGCAACGCAGGAGCGGCCGCGCTGCGGAAGCCGCAGAGCAGTCACTGGGGTGTATGGACAGCTCAAACCACGAAAAAGACAATGAGTCTGCAAATGTTCTTCTGCATTTGTTTATTTGAACACGCTTATGAATCCCTTGCTTCAATTCGCAGCGCTTCGGTGCTTCTGGCTCGCGTCCGGCGCCCCCGGTGCTGGGGTGAACGTACACCCCGCGACTCGCCGCGGCGCCGGGGTGTACGTACACCTCGTTTCTTGCGTTCACTTGTTCGTTGTTTCCCTCTAAGGCAAAAGCTCACTTTCTTTTTTCCTCCTTTAGCGCTGGCGCGACGCGCAGCAAACAACTCGGAGGAAATTAAAAAGTTCAAAATTAAAAATTCAAATATTTATTAACTCAAAAGCGAGACCAACGCGTTTCGATCGCCCGCCCGCAGGGTCTCTTCTTGTTGGTCTCATTTGCCCTCGCGCCCACCTAGCTAGCTAGCTAGCCAGCTGGCTAGAGAGAGCAATAGCTAGCTAGCCAGCTAGCTAGAGAAACTGCTAGAGAAATGGCTGGCTAGCAAGCTAGCCATCTAGCCAGCAGGCGAAATAACTAGCTAGGAAGCTAGCTAGCTAGCTAGCAAGAGGAATAGCTAACTGGCTAGCCAGCTAGCTAGTCCGTTACTAGCCATGTTGGTTTGCTAGCTAGCTAGGCTAGGTAGCTAGCTAGCTAGCCAACTTTCTGGCCAAATGGCTAGCTGGGGGCAAAGGACACAGCTAGCTAGGTAGCTGCATACTTACTTGGCTAGCTGGCCAGCCGCCCACGTACTTGGCTAGGTCCCGCATAGCTAGCTGGCACCTGCTTGGCTAGCTAGCTACCGATTCGGCTGGCTAGCTAGCTAGCTAGCTAGCCGAATCAGTAGCTGAGAGAGGCGAGGTAGCGCTGCTGAAGGAATTCCTGAATGGGTAGCTAGCCAGCCAGCTACCCTATTCTGGCTGCAGCTAGCTAGCTAGCGAGCTAGGCTGGCTAGCCTGATAGGTAGTTAGCTAGCTGGCTAGACAGCTAGCTAGCTAGCTAGCTACCTAGCTACTAATGCAAGGGGAAGCCAACGAAAAGAGACGGGGGGCTGCAAAAGAGCCAAAAACAACAAATGGAAAAAAGAAATAAAAGTGAAAAAAGAAAAGTAAAAACAATTTAGAGAAGAGACGCAGAGCCAAATAAGACACCCGGACAGACACACAGCCTCGAGTGTCTACAAGTGTTCACGAGGGTTTACGAGGGTTTATGAGGCTTTATGAGGGTTTATGAGCGTTTACGCGGATTTATGAGGGTTTACGAGCGTCTACGAGGGTTTGCGAGGGCTTATGAGGGTTTATGAGGGTTTAAGAGGGTTTATCAGGGTTTATCAGGGTTTATGAGGGTTTAGAGGGTTTACGAGGGCTTATGAGGGTTTACGAGGGTTTAAGAGGGTTTACAAGGGTTTATGACAGGATACGAAGGTTTACGAGGGTTTATGAGGGTTTACGAGGTATTTTGAGGGTTTATGAAGGTTTAGGAGGGTTTAGGAGGGTTTACGAGCGTTTATAAGGGTTTACGAGGGTTTATGAGGGTTTACGAGAGTTTATGAGGGTATATAAGGGTTCATGTGAGTTTACGAGGGTTTGTGAGGGTTTATGAGGGTTTTCATGTGAGTTTACGAGGGTTTGTGAGGGTTTAGGAGGGTTTACGAGGGTTTAGGAGGGTTTACGAGGGTTTACGAGGGTTTGTGAGGGTTTACGAGGGTCTACGAGGGTTTATGAGGGCTTACGAAGAGTTTTGAGGGTTTACGAGGGTTTAGGAGGGTTTAGGAGGGTTTATGAGGGTTTACGAGAATTTACGAGGGTTTACGAGGGTTTATAGGGGTTTACGAGGGTTTATAAGGGTTTATGAGGGCTTACGAGGGTTTATGAGGGTACAGATAAATAAATAAATAAATAAATAAAATAAGATAGAATAAATACATAATAATAAATAAATGAATAAATAAGTAAATGAATAAATACTTAAATAAAATAAATACATGTATAAATAAAATAAATAAATAATAAATGAACATAATTGCGTATTTGCAATGTGTACTGTATATACACCGTTGCGATATTTCTACGAAGTAAAATAAAAATAAAAAGATGTAAATATGATATAAATATAAATATATAAATATATAAATAAATATAACTCTAAGTATAAATATAATCTGAACATAAACATAAATGTAGATATAAAATTAAACATATAAACATAAACATAAATATAAATATAAATGTAAATATAAATATAATGCAAACATAAATGTAAATATAAAAACATAAAAACACACTTTTTTCATTTATAGGCCCTTTTTTCCCGGTACTGCACTGGAGCCAATAAACCCTAACAAACCCTAAACCCTAGCAAACTCCAAACCCTAGCAAACCCTAAACCCTAGCAAACCCTAAACCCCAGTAAAACCTAAACCCTACCGTACCCTAAACAGTAGCAAACCCTAAACCCTAGCAAACGCTAAACCCTGGCAAGCCCTAAACCCTAGCGAACCCTAAACCCTAGTAAACCACTCCTAGTAAACCCTAGACCCTCGTAAACCGTAAACACCAGCAAACCCTAAACCCTAGTAAACCCTAGTAAACCCTAAACCCTCGTAAACCCTAAACCCTAGCAAACCCTAAACCCTAGCAAACCCTAAACCCTAGCGAAGCCTAAGACCCTGCAGGCGGGAAAAGAAAGCCTGAGGCCTCTCAGGACGAAAAAGAAACCCTGAAGAAGTTCTAGGGTTTGTAAGTTAGGGTTTAGGGTTTGGAGAGTGTTTAAAAAGACAACAAACACATAAATTGAAGTAAATATTCCTAAGTTGCAGCTAATTCTGCACAAAAAGAATTAGGTAAAAAGTTTTCGCAAAATGCATTTAATTGCATGCATGCGCACTGAGGTGTACAGACACCTGCATGCGCGCAGGTGTCTGTACACCCCAACGACTCCCAAATAAAAGCGCGCATTTAAATGCAAATTAATTTATTACTTATTATTATTTAATCTATGTATTTATTTATTTATTTATTGTTTGTGTATTTATTTATTTATTTATTTATCTATTTACTCGTCTTTTCATCACTTTTCTTTCCACTTTTTGGAAATGGGTATGAACATATTTGCAAACTGAACAATCAGAATGCGCGAAGTTATGAATCCTTTTCACAAATATAATTGAATAACAGAATAAATAAATGATTGGATAAATAAACAATCAGATAAATAAATAAATAAATAAATATATGTGCGCAGAGAGGCAACTAAATGGACTTGCACTTAAAAATATCTTTCGATAAAATATTTGAAGGCGTTTTTTGCAGGCATGCATTCTTGTTTTGTTTCCAAAGAAAATGATTTCTTTCAAGTTCCATTTATTATTTATTTTATTTATTTGTTTTATTATTTATTTATTTATTTATTTATTTGTGCTGCCGCCTTTTAACCTTTTATTCATCTTCCGACAGGGAGCAGAGCCACGAGCTGAGGTGTACGTACACTCCGGAAACATATGAAAACACCCCACCAAATGCTGTCCAAACCCTAAACCCTAAACCCTAAACTCTAAACCCTAAGCCCTAGCCTCACTGAAGAGTGGGCTGGATGCGAAAAGAAGTAAAGTGGAAAGGACTTAAGAGCAGCAGAAGACATTCAATTAGTTGGCAGCAAACAAAGCCACAAGGAGGCCCCTCTTTCATTAAATTTCTTTTCTTTTCCTTTTTCTTTTAAAGCTTTTGCAGCAGCAAAAGGGTCCAGCCACTCTTCTATAACTATCACTTCAGCTCCTACACAATCCCAAGCACCAGCCCCTTCCTGTTCTTTCTCTAGGGGCCCCTGTAGGCCACCTTGGGGGCCCCCCAGGGGGACCCCCTGAGGGCCCCCTTGGGGGGCGCCCTCCGAGAAGGTTCTCGTGGGGGGCCCCTGGAGGGCCCCGTGAGGGGCCCCCTGGGGGGCCCCCTGGGGGGCCCCCTGAGGGGCCCTCTGGGGGGCCCCCCCCGCTGGGGGGCCCCCCTGGAGTTGGCGAGAAAGGACAGTGAGGCTTTTGAAGCCCCTGGTTTGCATGCGCTTGCATGCAGTTTGTTTTAGGGCGGCGGAGAAGTCTGGAATGGAGTTGAAGTTGAGGACAAGTCTGTGGAGGACGGCGAGGCCTGCGGAGTCGCACCAGGAGCCCGAAAGGGGGAAGTTGGGTCTTTCAAAAGCATTTTTTTCGTTTTTTAAACTCCAAAAGGACTTCTTTTCGCAGTCTTTGCGGAAGCTGGTGTTCGCGGCGGAAGAAAGGCGACTGCGGGTGCCCCAGCCGACGCCGAAGCCGCAGGCGGCAGACGGAAGCAGAAACCCGAGCACGCGGCTCATATTTGCGCCATTTCAAGAAAGAAAAGGTGGAAATAAACAGAAAATTAAATTTCCCATGATTAAAACGATTAAAATGGACCTTTTCCGCCGGAATTCAAGCTTTGCAACTAGCGCAGCGGCAGAGCACCTGGAACTTCTGGGGTGTCTGTACACCGCGCGCGCAGTGTGAAACCTAGTGGAAGCCCTCGCGATCTTCACTTTTAAGACTTCTGCAATGCAGATCGGTAGATTTTATGTATTTCCCTTTTCATTTTGGTTTTCATTTTCCCTCTTCTCCGCCTTCGCGCTGCAGATCGTGCGGGAACGCCTCCCCCGGCTTCCCTGCTTCTGCAGCTTCGCCATGTCTTCAGCTTTCCCCGCCCCCCCTCCCCAGGCCCCCACCTCCGCTGGTCTGCTGCCACTGGTCCACCGGGGTGACCAGTGGTTCGCGCTGCTGTACAACGCG